GTTGTTGTTAAATTAGATACAATGTTACGGTTGTAGGAAACTCTTAGCAAAATTACAATGGCAGTACTAACAGAATACTGATATTGGTACTACAAACGCAACGACCAATAACAATAGCAATAGCGGTACAACTGCTAATGCCACTAGCACACCACGATTAACCGTATTACTGTAGTAACTGGAGTTCTCTAGCACATATATTAGACTGTGAGAAATACTGTTTTCCAACGATCAGTCAAATCATTCAGCTTAAGGCTGCAGCAAATCTACAACTAGCACAAAATGATGTCATAATCCAGTGCGGACTTTAAACAGCAGGAAAAGAACCAGACTCCAGAGGCTAATCTCATAGTTCAGACAAATCCTAAAACAGCCCATACACCGACTACTTAGACATTGAAAGTTCCACAGAAATGTTACATTATTACAATACTTGACTCTGTTAAGCATCATCGCAATAAAACTCAAACAACAGCAAACGCCTAACTAAAGTCCAGCCCCTGATGTAGCGGCAGTCAGCGATACCCATTCCCCACGTACTGATCATAAAGCTGGCCAATGATTAGCAATCTAAAAAAAAATACCTCAGCAAGCAGCTGATGGCACTTGTACTTCTTTGCCAGCTCCATCTTTTCGTCGTTGTTACTGACGTACGGAATGTATCTGGCGACGACCTAAGGAAAAATGCAAAATACCTTTCAAAGCGCTGCTCACAGGAACTACTTCAGCAGGAGCGCCACTTAAAGCTAGCACAGATATCACTTTCGAAGCCGGAAACGGAACTTTAAGTTTCACACCACCGAAGTACCCTGAAATATTGATCATATAATATGACTGAACTCTACCAGATATATGAGTTACCTTCGATTCAACCCCAGTGAGCAGGGATAGGAAGATAAACCTCATACAGCAACGGGATAATATGCAAGAAAAAAAAACAAGTAACAGCCCTACCATACAATACAGATAAATGTGGTTGTTTTTAATGGACGAATTCATTTTGACCATTTCATATCTAAAAATGATGAATGCTGTTGAAAAAAGTTTATTCACTTTGGCGACGTAGACGCTATTAGCATAATATGGTATTCAATTTAAGAAAACAAAAAGAAAACAACAAAAATAGCTGTCCTCGTTGTTATGGAATGACGATGCGTATGGTAAAACTCTCTTACATCTACGGCTCTCTGAGTGTTCTGAAGAGAAAGGATAAGACTTATAGGCGCAGCAACTTCGCGTGGCCTTGGACGGTGTTATGCCTTTATGACTCGTATGCGCCGCGAAGGCTTTATGCAACTTTCTGATCACTTCAACCGTCAAAATGACACCTCGGCATAGTGCCCATAAAGAAATTGAAAGCTTAGTTGCCGCCAGCAATAATCTCTGGCTTAGCGTCAAATTACTAACAACTACACCGTCTCTTAAAAGGCGGATCGGCAATTGTACAATTGCAAAGTTGAAATGTACCTACCCAACAATGGTGTAGGAGATGAAACGGTAAGCGAGACATGAACGTCATATTCGGCAAAGGCACAGCTCATATGCTGAGTATTTCCCAAGGCACAAGGTTAGTTAAATTACGTTCACAGGGTAAGAGGGAAAAGCGAATGATTATGTCGAGGCACGCATGAGTAAAAGACTGAAAAGAGGATCTAAACTTTCAGACCCGCGGTTCGTCACCTCATGAAGTAGTTGCTGTTAAGAAAACATCCAGAAACTACAATCCCATTGCGATAATCAAAGCTACAGCAGCAAAATGAGTATACGTTCCTAGTCCCCACCTTGTATAGAGAGGTCGATCGGTCATTTAATAGTTGCTAATGTAAAAAGGAAAACAAATCGATATTTAAAGGCCATCGCTAAGTACAGCACCAGTCTAGTGTGGCGTCATCAGCTACTTTCTTTCGTTCTTTATTTCACATAATCCAGCGAAAGAA